TTTCAAGGTGTGGATTATTGGATACTTGTTGGAGAATTGTCTCCAAGGTGTGGATTATTTGATACTTGTTGGAGAATTGTCTCCAAGGTATGGATTATTGGATACTTGTTGGAGAATTGTCTCCAAGGTGTGGATTATTTGATACTTGTTGGAGAATTGTCTCCAAGGTGTGGATTATTTGATACTTGTTGGAGAATTGTCTCCAAGGTATGGATTATTGGATACTTGTTGGAGAATTGTCTCTAAGGTGTGGATTATTTGATACTTGTTGGAGAATTGTCTCCAAGGTGTGGATTATTGGATACTTGTTGCAGAATTGTCTCCAAGGTGTGGATTATTCGATACTTGTTGGAGAATTGTCTCCAAGGTATGGATTATTGGATACTTGTTGGAGAATTGTCTCCAAGGTGTGGATTATTGGATACTTGTTGGAGAATTGTCTCCAAGGTGTGGATTATTGGATACTTGTTGGAGAATTGTCTCCAAGGTGTGGATTATTTGATACTTGTTGGAGAATTGTCTCCAAGGTGTGGATTATTTGATACTTGTTGGAGAATTGTCTCCAAGGTATGGATTATTGGATACTTGTTGGAGAATTGTCTCCAAGGTATGGATTATTTGATACTTGTTGGAGAATTGTCTCCAAGGTGTGGATTATTTGATACTTGTTGGAGAATTGTCTCCAAGGTGTGGATTATTGGATACTTGTTGGAGAATTGTCTCCAAGGTATGGATTATTGGATACTTGTTGGAGAATTGTCTCCAAGGTATGGATTATTGGATACTTGTTGGAGAATTGTCTCCAAGGTATGGATTATTTGATACTTGTTGGAGAATTGTCTCCAAGGTGTGGATTATTGGATACTTGTTGGAGAATTGTCTCCAAGGTATGGATTATTTGATACTTGTTGGAGAATTGTCTCCAAGGTGTGGATTATTTGATACTTGTTGGAGAATTGTCTCCAAGGTATGGATTATTGGATACTTGTTGGAGAATTGTCTCCAAGGTATGGATTATTTGATACTTGTTGGAGAATTGTCTCCAAGGTGTGGATTATTTGATACTTGTTGGAGAATTGTCTCCAAGGTGTGGATTATTTGATACTTGTTGGAGAATTGTCTCCAAGGTATGGATTATTTGATACTTGTTGGAGAATTGTCTCCAAGGTATGGATTATTGGATACTTGTTGGAGAATTGTCTCCAAGGTATGGATTATTTGATACTTGTTGGAGAATTGTCTCCAAGGTATGGATTATTTGATACTTGTTGGAGAATTGCCTCGTTTAGTGAGTACATATAGGTTGATGATTTTTATTCTTGAGATGCTCATTGTGTAGCATTTGGTTTCATTAAATTTCATGCCCCATTTGTCGGCCCAATTAATAAGGCACTTCAAATCTGTTTTGAGGTGGTTGTGGTCATCGTAGCCGTTTATCTCTCTGTAGACAAGACAGTCATCTGCAAACAGCCTCACTTGAGATTTTACAGTATCAGGGAGGTCGTTTGTGTGACACAGGAAGAGAAGGGGACCCAGCACTGTGCCTTGTGGAACTCCTGAGTCTACGGTGCCTTTCCCTGACCGGACGCCGTCTACCACTACTTCCATGGTCAGTTGTGTTAGAAATGTTGAGAGCCAGGTGTGAAGGTTGCCGGTAATGCCGTAGTGGTGAAGCTTATGTAGAAGAAAGCTGTGTGGAACAGTGTCGAATGCCTTGGAGAAGTCGAGAATTGCCTTGTCGACCTGTTTACCTTTGTCATTAGAGAAAAGAAGGTCAATATTGGTGATGATTGAGTTTCTGTTGAGAATCCAGAGCGGAAACCGTGGTTTATGTTGGTCAAAATGTTGTAGTGTTCAAAGTGGTTCTTGATGTGGCGACAGATGAAGTGTTCTAGGATTTTGCATGGAACGGAGGTCAGGGAAATTGGGTGTTAGTTTGCTGGGTTATGACGGTCACCTTTCATGTAGGCACTAGTGATGTTTGCATCAAGCCAGTCTAGAGGGAGTTTGCCTGAGTCAAGCGATTTTTGGAAAATGTGGGTCATGGTTGGGGCAATGTTGTCAGCCAGGGTCTTCAGGACAATGTTCGGGATAATGTCAGGTCCGGGCGCTTTATTGGGCTTCAGGTTGTTGGGGAGTTTGGCTACTCCGGTTTCAGTTATGTTGAGGGGGGGGGGGCGGGGCTATTGTACCAGGTGAAGGGTTTAGGATGTTATGACTGTTCGTAATTAATTTCTTGCTTTTAAGAAAGATCCAATTTATCTTTTCAAAAGTAGGGTTTTTAATTTTAATTGTGTCTGTCTGTTCTTCTCTTATCATAGTCATGTATTTTGTTTTTTGGTTGTTAACTTCCAGCCCCGATCTTACCAATGCGTCTTCTAATTCACCGAAGGCTTTTGCTATATCTTAACTACTTTTCCCTAACAGTTCTATGTCATCAGCATTTGCAAGATACTGAAGCCTATTGGTTGTGGGTCTTGGGTTTCCTTNGGCGCTTTATTGGGCTTCAGGTTGTTGGGGAGTTTGGCTACTCCGGTTTCAGTTATGTTGAGGGGGGGGGGGCGGGGCTATTGTACCAGGTGAAGGTTTTAGGATGTTATGACTGTTAGTAATTAATTTCTTTCATTTAAGAAAGATCCAATTTATCTTTTCAAAAGTCTGGTTTTTAATTTTAATTGTGTCTGTCTGTTCTTCTCTTATCATAGTCATGTATTTTGTTTTTTGGTTGTTAACTTCCAGCCCCGATCTTACCAATGCGTCTTCTAATTCACCGAAGGCTTTTGCTATATCTTAACTACTTTTCCCTAACAGTTCTATGTCATCAGCATTTGCAAGATACTGAAGCCTATTGGTTGTGGGTCTTGGGTTTCCTTCAGAAAGTATGCTGTTATTGCTCCTCGGGTGTCAATATGTATCTCTCTAATGTTAGGTTAAATAGCGTACAAGAGAGTGAGTTTCCTTGTCCTTGACCTTTTCTAATCTAAAATTCCCCTGAATATTCTCCTGAAGATTGATTTCGCTTTGTGAGTTTAACATGAAACAAATTGACAAGACTGATACTTATAACATTAAGTTGACAATGTATGTAACCAAGCAAACAAGACCCTGATGTTCTTAAAGCTTAACCTGAAGATTGGCAACTCCTGTGTAAAAGAAAGAGCATATAAAGCCTTTGTCCGTCCGATTTTAGATTATGCATCTTCAGTCTGGGACCCATTTACCCAGAGGTGCATTGACAGGTTGGAGGCGGTCCAGCGACGGGCGGCTCGCTTTGTCCTGAACCGATACAGGAATACCTCTAGTGTTTCAGTATGCTGGAAACACTAGGCAGGTCACCATTGGAGAAATGACGACGACAATCCAGGCTCTCCATGATGTACAAGATAAATAATGGGCTGGTCCACTGTTCCAGTATTAAACAGAAACTCGTCCCTCTCCCCCATAGACAGCGACAAGGCCATGACAAGCAAGAAGCCAGTATAGGAACTGCTCATTCCTGCTTAAGACAATCTGGGACTAGAACAAGATTTCAAAAGAAAAAGTTGAGGCGACAACACTAGACACATTTGCGTCTATTTCCTAAAAGCCTTCCAACCCCCATTGCATGATTCCTTCACAAAGTAGCACTTGTAATCATTGAAATATCCTCATCAGCACCAGGCACAGAAACATTGCAAATACCCTCTACATGCATAGGAGATAAAATGATCAATAAATTGATCGTGGGCCCTTAATATATAGAAGAAGAAGAAGTTTATTGGTACGCCAAACTCGTGCAGAGTCTCATATGGTCCCAGGAAATCCTGGCATGAGACCACCTCATCATTACAATCCTTGCCATAAGTTTTGCGTATTTAATCCACACTTAAAAAGTGAAAGATTTTCGACCTGGATCATTTGGACGCCCCAGGCCCCGTCTACCATTGGAGATACAGATGTTCGTCCTGGATCACTTGGACGCCCCAGGCCCCGTCTACCATTGGAGATACAGATGTTCGTCCTGGATCACTTGGACGCCCCAGGCCCCGTCTACCATTGGAGATACAGATGTTCGTCCTGGATCATTTGGACGCCCCAGGCCCCGTCTACCATTGGAGATACAGATGTTCGTCCTGGATCATTTGGACGCCCCAGGCCCCGTCTACCATTGGAGATACAGATGTTCGTCCTGGATCATTTGGACGCCCCAGGCCCCGTCTACCATTGGAGATACAGATGTTCGTCCTGGATCATTTGGACGCCCCAGGCCCCGTCTACCATTGGAGATACTAGTTACCCGTTTTCCCGGGTTAAAGCTTGCCCCCGCAAAATGAGCCAAACCTAGTCACTAGTGACGTCACTAGTGACAAACTCTGTCAGCTCTATCAGAAAGAAATCTAGTCACTAGTGACAAACTCTGTCAGCTCTATCAGAAAGAAATCTAGTCACTAGTGACAAACTCTGTCAGCTCTATCAGAAAGGTTGTATTTAGAATTGGTTAAAATCTCATTAAAACTTGCCCATGACCTTTAGGCTACTTTAAAAGGAAAACCTCTGCAGAAAATAGCATAAAATACTGCCCCTCTATATATAGAAGAGGGACACTCCCCTTTTCCCCCCTAAGCCTAAGCCTAAGCTAGTGATCATGCATATAATAATGGAATGCCTTTTAGTTATTTACATAAAGTGGTTTACATAAGTTTTTTTAAAAAGTTTTTGTATAATATATAGGCCTATATATATAAATAAATATAAATTTATATAAGAAAGATTACTGATACGGTACTTTAAAATAACAGACGAAGTCCCCCACCCCCAACCCGACACACATAAAATTAAGTAATAGTGCAACAGGATATTTCAAATAATTAGCGCTGAACAATTAGTGTCATAACTTTAGTCACTTTAGAAATACATTTTGTTACAAAAGATAGATAATTCATTATATCTTTATCATAAAGTAACATAAGACCACTTATTATTATTATTATTATAATTTGCCACTGGTCGGTACTTGGATTGACCCTCGATTGGTGTTTCCGAGTTAGTTGGTTACCTTGAATTAAGTTCGCTTAATTAAATGTCTATAAACACATACATTTTAAAGTATATAGGAATATTGTGACATTTCTAATTAGAGCTAAATTTCAAAGCTTAGTTACCAATAATTAGTTACAGACTGATTCGTGAAGACAGGTCATTGATTGAGATGAAATAGAGAAGAATACTCTGACTCTGAAAAAGATCAACTGATCAACCAACTCAACAATTCAATAACACAAACTGCACTGAGACAGTTGTGAGTGTAACTAGAACCAGAAGTACCTGGTAGTATAGTAACAGTCTGAGTGATACTTAATTTACTTAATAATTTTATTAATATATTATTATATTATATTTCTTTTTTTTTTTTTTTTACTTTATAAACCAACTATTACTATTACTTATACTAACTAAGAGTAGTAAGAGTCAAGAGTAAGAGAATGACACATAGTTACTGCGAGTAAATTCAAATAAGAAAGTTAGAAGAATGATAGTTGATGCAAATTATATTATATTTTTTTTTTTTTTTTTTTTTACTTTATAAACCAACTATTACTATTACTTATACTAACTAAGAGTAGTAAGAGTCAAGAGTAAGAGAATGACACATAGTTACTGCGAGTAAATTCAGATAAGAAAGTTAGAAGAATGATAGTTGATGCACTAGCTGTGACTAGCAGCAGTCTAGTTAGAGTTAAATTAGTAAAAACCTCCATAATGAACGTTTTGTTTAAAATTAAAATAACTTTAAAAAAGCAAGATTTGCAATTTTTATATCAAATTAAGACAACTATCATTCCAGGATTTAAGTCAGTGAAAATTGAAAATCAAAGAGTTTACCTTCTTAAATTTAAGTGGTAGTGTTGCATGATGATATTTATGAAGTCACCACACTTTCTATTCTAATTCTATACTGTATTACCGGTACTTAAACTATACTATACTAACTATAAATGTCTAATCTAAAAGTAAAAGAACAGGAGGGGTTTTAAGCATTTTGCTTATTTGGATATGACCTTTCTTTCATACACTGTATCAATATGACCTTTCATACACTGTATCAATATGACCTTTCATACACTGTATCAATATGGCTTCCTAGCTTCAAAATTCAGTGATAAATTAAAATTAAAAACATGAATCAATACATTTATTTTTTTAGTTGAGGAAAGATATCAAAATGGGAAGACAATTGACCACATCCTTAACAGATGCCCTGCTCACCTGGTCTGTGTTGTATTTCATCTACCACGTCTTTTGGTGGAACTTTTTTGCCTGCTTTGGACTTGGCATCCAAGGTGCTGCGGCCGCATTGGGTGTTGCCAGGTTCGCTCAGACAAGACCAGAAGGAAAGATTTACGAATACCATCAGATGATGTCTTGGCTAGCGCAGGTAGATTTTTTAATTCTAACTCATATAACACCGTAAATCAAAACTCTGATCTGTGAGCTTACATTTCAAATTTGCTATTGAGAAATTTAAAACATAAGCACATACATAATTATGAAGTTTATTCTTTTTATAGGACAACAAATTTTATGGCGATTCAGTAATTGTTTCAGTTTTTGCTATAATTTAACGCTAACAAGACCTGAAATTGATAAATTTAAAAAAAATGTATTCCATTTCAGGTGGTAGGTGTTCCCCTGTTGGCTGTAGGCTTCTGTCACAAAGATCTGCCAATCATGATGAACTTGAACATCATGATCATGGTTGGTGTTCTGATTGGTAGCCGTTTCCTGGCACGAGGCATGCGACAGTTGGCCCAAGAGAGTTGTTCTGGTTTTGCACTCCTCACCATCATCTTGGTGAGCTTTCGAGCTTGGAACATTTATGGGCTGCTGGCCACTGCAGTCTATGTAGTTTCAGGAAAATTTGTCGGCTCAGAAGGGAAGATGGGTGTGTTTTACAGAGTGGACATTCTTCATGTTGGGTTAGCTGTAGGCAATTTCCTTTTTACATTTGCTGTTTTAAATTTTTGAGAGGCTCCTCACAACATAAAACAAGGCATCAAAATATAAATAAGAAGAAATCGTTTTCGTCCTACATGAAGGTGCTCACTTTTAAAGAAATTTGTTAGTTCTGTTTTTTTTTTCTTGCATCCGCACCTAAAACTGAAAAAAAGCCTATGCTTGACCTGTGTAAGTTGGGATTTTTTACATTCAGTACCGTATAATCATCACGTTGACATGTGCATAATTTGAGAAACCAACCGTAAAAATTCAATTAATAGTTAATATATAGGTACGAATATATAGGTACGTGTAATATTAGTATTAATATTCGAAGAAGTCTTTTGCTGGAGTGAATAATTCAATTATTTTTATTGATAATTTTTAATATTAAAAGATAAGAAGATTTTTAATAAAATTTCATTGTTTGAATGAATACCTATAGTAATTTTTGTGATGTGCATTTTATTTGTTCTTTAAAAAAAATTGTACTTCATAAAGATATTTTAATGGAATAATCCTCGAATTTGCATAGCATATTTTTGTAAAAATGAGGTTAGGGTTAGAAGTAATTCTTGCCTTATGCAATGATAAATGTAAATTTGTTAGCAGGGAAAGAAAGTTCCACTAGTCTAACAATCTGAAATTAATCAAAATAACTCTACCCAAATGTAGAAAACATTGGGTTATGCACAAGGACCTCAACAAATGTTGCAATGTCATTATTTAGCTTTGTCACTAATAAATTGATATATCGGTACTGATAAATTTAAGGGTCCTTGTTTTAAACGTTAAACAGATTTAAACAATTTTTTAATATCATCCATTATATCTTCAATAAGATGTTCAGATTTTCTAGTCTTCATGGTTCATTGTGAAAGAGTTTAATATGAGTAAAAGGTGGTCACGGGCTGTGAGTGTTTTCAAGGATATCAATTTTTTTTGCTATGGCCAGTGGTCAGTGGTCATTTTCAAGCATGAAGCTGTAATTTTGTTAAATATCTGATACCCATAACAATATTTTTCAATGTATTTGAAGTCTGCTAGTGCAACAGTTTAGTATCTTCCAACTATGGCTTCCAATACAGCTTTATGTATTTTCTTGTTCTTCTTATAGCCAACAAAATATTCATATAAAGAAAATTTAAAATTATTTTAATCTACCGGTATTTAAAATTAAAGGCATTGTCATTGTTTTTTATATTTGTTTCCCCTTCCCTGGCATTTACTAATTTTTTGCAACCAGTCAGATCGCAAACCTTCGCACATTGAAAATATCACTTCCATCTCTCCTCCACACACATTTAAATTAAAAGTCACCCACACTCCTTTCAAAAAATGCATGTAATATAGGCATTTTGTGTAAAAATAAATTGTAATAGGTATTCCATGTAATCATAATTATAATGGGTATTCCATGTAATCATTATTGAACTAGGACTTAGATGTGGCACTTTATGTTAAGGAGTCCTCTAAACTAACATTGACAATTCCTCATAGTTTTCACTTAGAAGGAATTTACAAACGGTCACTACAAGTAAAAGTTCTATCCCAGTCCTCACATTTTAACCAACAAAGATGGAACATAAGTACTCACCACAAGTATCACATTCTTAATGTCTTTGTTTTTTCTCAGTTTGAGATCCAGTGGTCTGGGGTGTATAGTAAACTTTTTAATGAAGCTCTTTGTTTTCTTTTTGTGACCATCCAGGTAGTTGTGAATGTTAGTGTATCATCCAGGTAGTTGTGAATGTTAGTGTATCAGCATAATTTTATAGCATGTGTCTTTACATTGGATAGCCAATGGGACAGGACTGAACTATTCTTCATTGCCAATATCATAGAATCTAATTAAAAGCTTGAGACCAGAAAATTATAAAACTATTAAAGACTGTTGGGTAAGGTTTAATTTGGAAAGATTTCCATCACAAAGATCTGATTTTTGTATGTTGACACTGTCATACCTCTGGCTTATCGTTCCTTACATTTCCGTTTCTCTGTAATTGCTTATTTTTGCGAGTGTTAATGTTAGTTTGACAATGTTTTAGTATCACTGATAAGCTTGCATTTAAATTTGTCGCTGATACAACTATGTAGGTAATCAAAATGTAAATGACTTACAAGTATAAGTATAAGCTATTTGAACATTATGATTGGATCAGAAAAGGTGACAACTATTTTGCTGAAGCTGATTGTATTGTTTGTTAACTGTATAGCTCAACCATTTTATAGACCGGTAGCTATGAACTATACAGCTTTCTATTGACAGTTACAGAGTTACAATGTATAAGTGACTATTCACTGTCTCTGCCAACTGCTTGAATTTGAATATTTATTGTAAAATTATGTAAATCCAGGTACCCCTAAGTTACAGTCTTGCCTACATAGATAATCAGGTCACCAAACTGAATCTTCTTGTGTTAAGTGTGCAATAAAAAATACTGATTTCAGAAACATTCTGCTTTTGTAATGGTGGGGACATTGAACAGAAAATATTAGTTTTAAATAATTTGAACTGAAGAGTTGAAAGGCTGAAACATTTTCCTCACATAAATACATGCTTTCACTAAAGACATTTTGTTCAATCTTGAAAGCAGTGTTTTGCCTGAAGCTTGCATTCCTTAAAATACCAAAAACCATACCCTACATATCTGAGTTATTTTCTTACATGTACTTCAAAGTTATCCTTTCTAAGTGTGCAATACTATAATTTTTGTAGCGTAATGCTGTATATTTCTTTTCTACTTTTATTTTCTCAAATAATTTTTGCAGATTGATATGTAATTAATTAAAATATAAACGCTATTTTTATTTAGCCTTTTCATAAAAATATTCCCATCTAACCTGTAGTTTAAATTTAATATATACAGAACAATGTATTAGAAAATATGTCAAACTTTGGAACTGGTTATACTGGTTGGCTTTCACTTGCCATGTGAACCACCTCCAATGTGGTGAGATTCACACACTGATTGGCTTCTCTTGCCATGTGAACCACCTCCAATGTGGTGAGATTCACACACTGATTGGCTTCTCTTGCCATGTGAACCACCTCCAATGTGGTGAGATTCAGGCACACTGGTTGGCTGTCACTTGCCATGTGAACCACCTCCAATGTGGTGAGATTCAGGCACACTGGTTGGCTTTCACTTGCCATGTAAACCACCTCCAATGTGGTGAGATTCACAAGCACTGGTTGGCTTTCACTTGCCATGTGAAACACCTCCAATGTGGTGAGATTCACAAGCACTGGTTGGCTATCACTTGCCATGTGAACCACCTCCAATGTGGAGAGATTCAAGCACACTGGTTGGCTTTCACCTGCCATGTGTACCACCTCCAATGTGGTGAGATTCATGCACATTTGGATAAGTCATTGCAGTAAACTATGGGGTGTGTACTGCTTGATGTTATACCTATAATATTGGTGTGTATGATCAATTTTAAGTTAAATATTTTTTTCTATGCCTATCCTTTAAATGAATGTAGAACTTCATACAATTTATTTTATTACTCTATTTGTTTCAACTTTGAAATAGCTTCACTAAAAACACACGAGGATGACAATTTATTTTTCTTGGATAACTTCTTTGTGATTAACTTACGCCTTATGTGTGCATTTTTCCCCACTTTGCTGTAAATTCTATTTAGGGTTGGCTGTTGAAATAATAGTGTACTTGTGGGTTTGTCTATTTAGTGTAAGAGATCAAATATTCTTACCATACGCTGCATCTTTTTATCTTTAACATAAATATTAACCAATACTGTTTAATTATAAGCAATTTAAATGTAAAATAACTTAAATGTAATCAAACTTACTGTTATAATAAAGTAAATATTTAGTACATGTATAATTTTGTAGACAATAAAAACTGCCAAAACATACTTGTGAAGAGAAAAAAAAATTGATTTTATTTTGAATGAATTTCTTTCTTTTATATTGCTATTAGTTGTAAAGTGTCATAGTTCTTACTTTGAATAAGTTTGTTTCTTTTATGTTGCTATAAAGTGTCTTAGTTCTTACTTTGAATTAAATATTTGAGATGGAACATTTATTTTATAATATGGTTTAACCACATAACATTTGTTGTTTAAATTATGTGCTTTTTAAAAAAAAGTATAAATAAATACCATTGTAAAAAACCATGACTTCCTAATATAATAGAGTGATAAAATATTCAAAATAGTTATTAGTTTATTACAAAATTATTACATAATTGATAAAGTTATAATAATATAATAATAATTGATCGCCCAGGAACAAGGCCAACTATTTTGGTAAAAGCAAATTAAATTGTTTAATCTAAAACAGCACTTGTTATACATTGTTAGCTATCAAGATATACCATATAGTCATTAAAAATATTAAAAGTACAACAGATACTTATTATGAGAGAATATTACAAACTTTTTAAAATTATTGAATTTGTCTTTTTTTAACTTATCACTTAAAAGTCTTTGTTTTTTCATTAATAAAAAAATTACATTTTTGCCAAAAATCAATAATTCCTTAACTTTATAATGGTTTTTTGTCATTTTTAACTTCCAAATAAACACCCCCCCCCCCCCAATTCATTTATAAAATAAAAAATTAAACACAGAAATCAAGACCTGTGCAAAATACATCATTAATTTCTTTGGGTCATAACAGATTTTATCCATAATTTTAAAATTTAACTAACTATATATATATATACATGTATTTTCAATGACATGACATACATTTTTTGTACAAGTCTTTTAAAACAGTACTCAGAGTCATGAAGGGGAGCAGCAATTAAAATAGGCTGTATGGTCCATCCACTCTTCTCTCGGTTGATGTTACACCAACTGAAAATGTGTTGCCCCGGCTTTCCCTGAAGTGTCCATTGTCCTTTAACACCTGACCACCCAGTACCCCAGTGCCCATCGTCCTTTAACACCTGAATACCCCTGTTTTCACTGACCTTTTCTAGAGCTTTAGCTAGCCGTGACGGCACATTTTTATTGCAGAGATTAAACTAATGAGTTCATCTAGGACATTATTAAGTCAGAAAGACTCACATCCTATCTTCTTCAAATTCCAAGTTTTGAAGTAGAAATAATATAACTCAGGATTTAACTCATTTATGCTTACTAAGATTAAATAGAATGCAAAGTTGACCCTTAAATTTATAATAAAATGCTGTAAAAGAACAAACTGGCAGCTAAAAACAAATCTTCAATTTCTTCATCAGAACAGTTATGTAACACAGAAAATGGAAGGTAACATGGGAGATCTCCTACAAGTTATATCAATAACATAATGAAGAAAAGATAATACACGACCTTAACATGAACAGAAGAAATCCCTGATGAAAGACACAGCTTCACAAACCTTCCATTACATGACTAAGAGAATTCTCTGTTCTGTAACTTTATATCACAGATAGAAAACTGATGTGCACACAGGGCATTCAGCTTATCATCAACATTTATGTCAGTCAACTATAGTCCACTTCCTAGCAACACAGAATCTAATGATAATTTAATTCTATTTCTATTGTATATCCACCATAGTCAAGTTACACAGAATGTAGTGATAATTTAATTCTATTTCTAACGTATATCAACCATATTCCGGGTTACACAGAATGTAGCGCTCAATTCAATTTCTAGTGTATGTCAACCATTTTCCAGACAAGTAAAGAACAGAAATGTTTTTTTTTCTTCTCAAAATGTCATTTAGATGATCACTTCAGATCAGACATGTTGGAATAGTAGCTGCGGGTCAATGTGCCTAGCTTGATGATTACTCAACTGATTGGCTCATCATTTTAACAATATAATATCATTTTTCTGCATTCATGAAAAAAAAAAAAAACATTCTCTGAGAAAAATAAAAGCTCATAATTGAAGAACAAAAAATTGGCAAAAGCAAAGGTAAAGTCTTTTTGAAACGATTCCCGGAATACATCTCAAAACTGACAAGAAGTAGGAAATTTAAGTGTATCTGTTGAAATGCGTGAACATTTTCCTGTGGCCACCACTTGATTAATGACAGTTCATGGAACCAATCATCTGCACAGTCACATGTTTATAGTGTGCTTAATATCCTGTCTTGAATAGGATGTAATTAGATTTGTCAGGGGAAAAGACCGTAACCTTATTTAATACAATTCCTTACTAATCAGATGGAACCACAGACATTCAAAAATAATGATATTTTTATAATAATCGTTCTTCACCATACAATAATTAATGAAAAAATTAACCAACCACAATCAAGTCATTTCAGGATAACTATATCCACAATCCAAGCATTGGCGACACGTTATTGTTAATAAAAATATCAACACTGAACAGCAGTTGCAGTATAACACCCAAAAGTGGCATTGAAACAGCCAAACATTGAAGTGAAACAGCCAATGGCAATGAAGAACACACAAACTATAGTTCTTAACAACACCATTTTGTTGTTTGTCCACTCCAGGGTCCTGTCAAAAGAACTTTTCCTTTGGCTCTTAAAAAGTTACTTAAAAGAATCCTATAAAACCAACTACATGGGACCCACTCCTGATAGAAAATGGGGCAGCGTGAGAATGCAGCAAGCCCTACCATACACCCGCGTGGGGAATCTATCCACAATGGTCATAACGTCTTTAGCGGGATCGTACTCCTGCAGCAGGTCAGAGTAGTAGTGCTCGCCGTTAATGCCGCCCACTATGTAGATCTTACTGTTGAGGGTGGAGGCTCCGGCCTCCCTGATGTTGCACGTGGTCTTACAAATGGACCACTGGTCAGTTTCTGGATTGTAGAACTCCATGGCAATAATAGGTACGGGGAAGCCATAGCTGTCTTCTATGTTTCCTCCAATGACATACAGCTTGTTCTGTACCTGAGGATTTAAGAAGACAAAGTGATCTCATTCTTGACATCAAATTCACAGATGGCTCTCACAGATGGCTCTCACACATTCCAAGTTAACACCTTCACAGTGGCAAAGGGACACAGCCCTGAATATTTCTATAGAAGACCTATCATGATGACACAATTAAAGTAGCTTTGAACTATTCTATGATTTTTAAACGTGCGTTTCATTTTTGACCATTGAATTTAAAGTGTGATGAATGAATTTAAAGAATGACATTCCACAACCTAACAATTCTAAAATAACCTCTAAAATAAATGTAAGGAAATGGAAAGACAAAATTATCTCTATAGGGCCTAACACGTGGTAGGCAAATATTCTACCAAAACACGACAAGGGATCTAGTGAAAATGTATCAGAAATCAAACTATGAATGATGTGCCATGACTAAAATCACAATCATTTCCACTCGTGAACACTCAACAGTTGATAATTCACACTTAAAAACATTCTATGAAACTAATCCTACCTCCATCATGACATGATTGCATCTTCCATTCAACATTGAAGCTTTTTCCTCCCAAATATTTAATCCAGGAGTGTAGCAGCTCATATTATTGGCACAACCTGAGAACCTCTGACCACCCGATATGTAGATTTTGTCTTGGCAAAGGGCACCAGCGTGACCATAACAGGAATGGCTGAAATTTTTCACACAAAAATAATTTTAGCAAAGTAATTAAAATGATGAGAACTGTTTAACTGTCTGAGCAATGGCCCTTCAAATTTTATTATAACATTCGCCTAATGTGCTATTTAACAAACTGTGATGTATTATGCTCATTCAGGGAACCAAACAATATAAATACCATAGGATAAATACAAAAATTAACTTTTACTCTTGCATGAATGTCCCACTACTTTTTAAGAGAAATCTGAGTACTCAATGGTTTTATTTCTGTCATGACAAGATTACAATAGTTGAAATTTTAACATGGATTTCCAAAGTCTTGAGAAATAATTGAACAGACAGACTTGAAAACTTGAACTAGTTCTATGGCAGCTGACACTAACTTGTGGAAATGTTCTGATCTCAAAATGGGTTTTGATATGTTCATTTACAAATTTAGTTATGGCCATTTTGTTGAATCTGTTGCGAGTTGGCCAGGAGTAATGTAAAGCTATCTGAACTTTGAGAAAACTAAAGGAGATACATTAGTGTGTGATAACTGTAAAAGTATCCTCAACTTTTACATCTTTAAAGCAACATTAATAAGGAAGTTTTGTCACAAACTTAATTATTTTAAAAAAAACTTAATGTAGGGTTAATATATGCACAATTACAGATATGCATTTGTTAAATTCATTACTGTGTTCATGCTCAAGGACTTATAATTATAAGAGAAAACTTTCAATAATGCACCTGATAGAAGCACAAAGATCCCATTCCTCTGTAGCAACAGTGTAGCACTCAACCGTACACATGACCATATTTTCATCTTGACCACCAACAGCATATATTTTCCCGTTGTAGGCAACAACTACAAAATCTTTCCTAGCCTCATTCATGGACGTTAGTTCATACCAAGAATCAAACCTGTTGATTATTTATTATGAAAGACTAAAGGATTTTAGAATTAACAAATTTTAAAAAATTCCTGTACATAAATCTAAATCAAAAGGACTTGCATCATGACTCTGTATGACAATGCATATGTTTTGTTGCACAGCTGGGTTATGCATCAAAATCTTATCTGCCAACCTAAATGTGTGGCACACCATTAACTCTGAATGCTTGAGTCAAAAATTGTTACTAAGGGACAAATTCTACTAAACAAGTCTTTCAAAGCATTCTGAACTCTGCATAGATTTTTACTTTTGTTCTGTTACTCATGGCATCTGAAAGCTAATTTTATTTCACTTATCAGAACATCACTAAAGTTTTCAAACACCAAATTAAAAACTTTCTATGCCCTCATCTATCAACGGGGTTAGGTTCCAGAACCCCCAGCGATTGTAACGACCTTGTATTTAATGTATTATATATTCATATTTTAATGCTATGTAAA